CCGTTGGAGCTGAGTGGATACAGGATGACTGGAGGGGTGTCGTTCTGATCCAGGATGAACACGTTGACTGTGACGTTGCTGCTCAGTGACGGAGTTCCAGAATCTGTGGCCACAACGTGGAACTGGAACGTTTTCACTGTTTCAAAGTCAAAACTCTTTAGCGCCACAATGTCTCCATTCTCAGAGTTAATGTTTAAAAACGAGGAAAATTTGCTATCCACATTTCCATTTCTCAAAATATGATATGAAATGATCGCATTCTTACTTTCATCACAATCAGAGGCTTTCACTGTAAATACTGACGCTCCGGGGCTGTTATTTTCTGTGATATAAAATGTATAGGGACTTATCAAAAACTCTGGACTATTGTCATTCACATCTGAAACAACAACGCTTATAGTTTCTTCAGTTAAAAAGACAGGGTCACCTGCATCTTTTGCAACAATTGTGACATCGTATTGAGAAATATATTCCCTGTCCAAATGTGACCTGGTTACAACAGCGTACATGTTTTGTTGTAATGAAGGAGATAACGTAAAAGGACCATCTTCCTTTATTGTGCAAACAACTTTACCATTAATTCCGGAATCTAAATCACTGACACTAATGAGGGCCACCGTAGTTCCTATTTTTGAATCCTCCTTAATAGAGCTAGAAAATGATGTCACTTCTATCTCAGGTGCATTATCATTAACATCAGTAACAGTTATCAAAACACTTCTGTCAGATGTTAGAGGAACTGGTCCTTTATCAGACGCCTGAATGTCAATTTCATAACTTTTACTTTTCTCAAAATCTATCGGACCTTTTACTTGAATTTCACCAGTGTTTGCATCAATACCAAAGAGATCCATTAATTTTGAATCAACTTCTTTACCAAATGAATATATTATCTCGCAGTTTGCACCCTGATCCAAATCAGTTGCATTTACCTGAATTACCACAGTGCCCACTGGCACGTTTTCTCTTATAGTGACTGAATACAACTCTTTAGTGAACACAGGTGAGTTATCATTAACATCAAGCACATCCACAATTACTTCTGTATCACCAGACTTCGCAGGTTTTCCTCCATCAATAGCTGTTAGACGTAACTTGTGTTTCCCAGCTGTTTCTCTGTCCAGCTGCTTCTGCAGAACTAAGAATGGTACTTTACGGTCTTCTCCTCTATCCTTGACTTCAACCCTAAAATATTCACTGTGGCTGAGTTTATATTGCTGAATGGAGAACTGGCCTATATCGGGGTCGCGCGCAGTCTGTAGTTGAAATCTCGCTCCTGCTAGAGCCGACTCGGAAATCTCAAGCCTCTTCTCTTTCTCTGGAAAATCAGGCGAGTGATCATTTATATCAGCTATTTCCACTGACACATAATGGATCTCCAGTGGGTTTTCTAGCACGGTTTTCAAACTGATCATACATGGACTGCTGCGTTCGCACACCTCCTCCCTGTCTATTCTTCCTTTCACATAGAGGATACCGTCATGTTGATTCACTTGAAACAGGGGTTCAGTTGAGCCTGCTACAATGCGATATCCTCTGTCTTTGAGTGCACTCTTGTCTAGTCCCAGATCCTTAGCTATATTCCCGACGACAGTTCCATCTTGAACCTCCTCGGATATGGAATATCTGATCTGTGCATAGGCTCCGCTCCATAAAACGTCAAACACAACCACAAAGGTGAACCAACACTGTCGCGCCCTCCATTCTTTGCGTCCTCTTTGTTCCATCACTCAAAGATGTCAAAAATACAGTCCATAAAATACCTTGTATCATTAAATGGTTTTAGTGCATCGTTGTCCTGAATGATTTCCAATGTATCTTATAACAACAAAGGAATAATATTAAAACGCACTCGTTGCTGCCAGTCCCGATCGTTCGCTCAAGTGTTGGAGATAAGTGCACGGGCTCGATCCAAAAATCGCTCGTGACGTAGGTTGCTAGACAGATGCACACAATCACTTAACTACACTGACACCAAGTGTTGAAAATGCTGTTCACACAGACTGTACTAGTGTTTAAGCAATTCAAAAACAGTCTTGAAATGTGCAGACGATATATGTCTTCAAATTCAGATTAAACGCATATGAGTTCTTGACTGACGGTAATGGATTTGTCACATATTGGAGCCTTGGTCCTTTTGTTTTCATTTTAGGCACAACCAATAAAACCATTAGAGTTTAGTTCTTTAACTTTTAACAACAAAGATCACACCATACATTGTAGAGCTACCTATGATGTAATCATTAATCAAAAAATAAATACAGAATTTTCATAGCAAGTGCGTCATGCTCAAATAAACGCATAATCGAGTAATTTATAGTTTGAAACTTTGAAAATGTAAAGTTATTATCAAAACGTTTTACAACAAATGTGTGGGAATGCTGTAATCGAAACGTTCAAAAATACCAAGCATAAACATTGATGTCTTTAAGAAAAGCAGGGCAGTTGTGGCGTCCATAAATGATCTTAAATTCTTGTCAGGAAATTAGCAGCATGGACAGTGAAACTTCCCAGCTTCAGTCAGGAAAAATAAAATAGAAAGGTATTTTTACCCAAAACATACTCTAACCATCCATTACCCACAAACCATGTACATCAAAATCAGCTCTACTGTTAAAATATCTTACCTCCTCAGATATCCTCCTCCTGTCAGGGAGCACTAGTGTATTTGCGTGGCTGCCCGGGACTATAGTAGATCCTGTACTCATCCTGGGTCCAACTAACATGTACCGTTTGTCTCCAGATCTGTACTGGATGCTGTGACACAGTGTCCCGTCATAATTAGCCTCTTGTAGATATTTAGAAGTATAGTCTGTGGATTTGGAGCACTGCATCGCGATCAGCACGATGATACTGATGAGGAAAAGTACAGACACTGAGCCCAAAGTTATCATCAGGTAAAAAGTCACATTAGTGTCCTCATCATCTTTTTTTGCTGCACTTTTAACATCAGAAGCTGCAAAAGCCTCTTTGGGCTCCACAAGCTTGACAACCACAGTAGCTGTTGCTGAGAGGGACACGTTGCCATTGTCTTTTACCAGTATGACCAGTTTGTGCTCAGCCTCGTCTGTCTCAGTGAATGAGCGAAGTGTCCTGATCTGTCCTGTGTAGCGGTCCAAACCAAAGAGACTGTGGTCAGTATGTTCCTGCAGTGAGAAGAGCAACCAGCCGTTATATCCTATATCAGGGTCATAGGCTCTGACTTTAGTCACCAAGTGTCCTGCGTTCACATTGCGGGGGATCTCCTCCACACCTTCAGCAGACCCGTTGGAGCTGAGTGGATACAGGATGACTGGAGGGGTGTCGTTCTGATCCAGGATGAACACGTTGACTGTGACGTTGCTGCTCAGTGACGGAGTTCCAGAATCTGTGGCCACAACGTGGAACTGGAACGTTTTCACTGTTTCAAAGTCAAAACTCTTTAGCGCCACAATGTCTCCGTTTTCTGAGTTGACGTTCAATGAGGACGTAAGCGGGTTTTCTCCTCCCCTATTTCTTAAAATCTGGTAGGAAATATGAGCATTATTGTCTTCGTCACGATCACTGGCTGTTAATGAGAAAATAGTCGCTCCTGGGTTGTTATTCTCACTTATATAAAAAGTATATGGTTTCTGTGAAAACTCTGGGCTGTTGTCATTCACATCTGACACAACTATATTTATTGTTTTCTCTGACGTTAACGGTGGTTCGCCTGCGTCTTTGGCAATAATTGTTATATTATATTGCGATTGGTGCTCCCGATCCAAAAGCATTTTTGTTGCTATAGTATACATGCTATTTTGTAGCGATGGAGTGAGCAGAAAAGGAAGACCTTGGCTTATGTAACACATCACCTTTCCATTAAGACCAGAGTCTGAATCTTTAACACTGATCAACGCAACTGTGGTTCCAGGTTTTGAATCTTCCCGGAGCGCGTGTGAGAAAGACGTTACTTCAATCTCCGGTGCGTTGTCGTTCAGGTCAACAATATTTATAATCACGGTTTTGTCTGTGGTGAGCGTAGCTGCACCCTTATCTGATGCCTGGATATCGATTTCATATCTACTTCTCTCTTCAAAATCTATATTCCCTGCCACAGTAATGACCCCTGTCACTGGATTTAAATCAAAACGTGTACGTACTCGTGCATCCACGTCATTACCAAAGGAATACACAACTTCACCATTTGAACCTCCATCTACATCTGTTGCATTAACTTGGATAACAGTCGTGCCAACCGCAGAATTTTCCTTTAGTTCTACATTATAGGAATCCTGGGTGAAAACTGGGGGGTTATCATTAACATCAGAAACGTCAACAATTATTGTCATGTTTCCGGACCGTGGAGGTTTACCTCCATCAATGGCTGTCAGAAGTAACACATGGGTCATCACGGTTTCTCTATCAAGTGGCTTTTGAAGAACTAAACTAGGGGTTTTACGGTCCTCGCCACGATCTTTTACCTCCAAACGAAAATGTTCATTATGACTGAGTTTATACAGCTGAACTGATAATGAACCACTATCAGCATCACGTGCAGCTTGTAACTGAAATCTTGCTCCTGGCAATGCAGATTCTGAGATCTCTAACATCTTTTCATTTTCGGGGAAGCTTGGTGAGTGGTCGTTCACATCCAGAATCTCTACTGCTACATAGTGGACCTGCAGTGGGTTTTCTAACACAGTTTTTAAGTCGATTACACAAACCTTGTTCCGGTCGCACACTTCCTCTCTGTCAATTTTCCGGTTCACATACAAGTTGCCGTCGTCATTATTAAGTCGAAAAGGAGGTTCTGTCGAGCCGTAGACAATACGGTACCCCCTTTCTTTCAGTGTGATTTTATCAAGACCTAAATCCTTCGCAATATTTCCAACAGCGGTTCCTTCTCTCACTTCCTCGGAGATCGCATATCTGACTTGTGCTGCAGCTCTGCTCCAAAACGTAACCAAAATCATCATGTGAACAATCCACTTTGTCTGCTCTCTCCAGGTCTGTCGTGCTCTTTGTTCCATTATGTGAAGATGAAACAATTAAAACAAAAACAGCTTCCAAAGTGCTAAGCGCGTATACTGACATAAAACCCCCTGATCTCATCCGGTTATAAACAAATCATTTTCCAACAGAGCATTTGGATTCTTTCTAACGAAACTGGGGTTTCAAGCCGCTGGCACGTAAAATGTAATGTCAGTGGTGGTTTGAGAAAAAGGGGATGGGTCTAGTGGTTATGACGAAAGCACGTGGAAGTATTATTTGTCATTATACTGACACCAAGTGCTCGAGAACAACAGTGCAGTACTGCACATGAAATAACACGAACTATATAAAGGTGGTGACAAAAAGTTAACGAAGCAAAGCGGCCTACATATTCCCATTGCAAAGCTCAAATGGCACAAACATGCCTGTCCACCCAGTAACTCATACCTTATCTTATGGATGCTTCAAATGAGAGAGTCAGATGTTGAAGTAATAATAATAACAATAAAGAAAATGAGGGGCTGGGAACCGTTTCAGCACCGCGGACAGCGACAATCCGCGCTCACTCAGCCAAACACATTTTGAGACACACAGCAAATGAAGATGGATAAAAAACACTGTATGGAAACGGTGCATATCAGGTACTGAAGTCATAATGAATGAGTGCACGACTCGTGACAAGCCACTGCATGGATCTATGCAAGTTACAGTATATCATGATTGTTTTTTGCTTCCATTAACAACCGTTCGACTCAGTATGAGTTTCTGTGAATAGTCCACACTTAATGGATCATTAGTTAAGTGATGTTAATGAAGGAATGAGTGAAAGGAATTTATGTTGTGCAATTTGGAATTTATGATTTAAGTAATTTATATATGAAATCATCATGACTCCTGCATTAGTTAAGCATTGCTTTACATTATAAATTGTTTCAAATGAATAAGAATGCAGTTGCTGATAAACCTTATCTCTCCTGGACCCTCTTGGTTGAACTCATCTGGGGGTGCAGTGGGGATCAAAGTTAGGTTCCAGCTTATTCATGTGTTCTAATGTTCAATAACATGTCAATTTGAAAATAGGCAAAGTGTGAGTCAAATTAAAGGTAAAGAAGCAGGAGATAGTCCAACCATCTGTCCTATCAGTGGGCACTAATCATCAGAAACTGTGATGTAGCTAGAGGAGGCACAGCCATAGTCCTTATCAGCACCATCAGTGCACATCTGCATCTTGCTGATATCGAAATTTACCCAAAGTAAATCACACTGATAAACTTCATTTACCTATTCCCACAACCACTTTTCCCATCAGTATCAATACAATGTAATATTTTAACAGAAGGGAGCTAACTAGATGGTTTTAAAGTCAGTTTTATGTTATATGCAAAAGAGAAGTCTAATGATTGTAGAAACACAGTCCCTTCCCAGTTGTCTTGTAAGAGAATTTGCCACAAAGCAATTCAATAGTGTTGATTCAACAAGCTGTAAAATATTTAATATGTATGATAGATGCATGAAAATCTAACTTGAGAGTTTGTAAATGTATAAATCTGAGCTCATGTTATTTTAACAAAATTAGGCTACAAAAATTTAAAGGAAAGAGACTCAATCTACTGATCTTACCTCCTCAGATATCCTCCTCCTGTCAGGGAGCACTAGTGTGTTCGCGTGGCTGCCCGGGACTATAGTAGATCCTGTACTCATCCTGGGTCCAACTAACATGTACCGTTTGTCTCCAGATCTGTACTGGATGCTGTGACACAGTGTCCCGTCATAATTAGCCTCTTGTAGATATTTAGAAGTATAGTCTGTGGATTTGGAGCACTGCATCGCGATCAGCACGATGATACTGATGAGGAAAAGTACAGACACTGAGCCCAAAGTTATCATCAGGTAAAAAGTCACATTAGTGTCCTCATCATCTTTTTTTGCTGCACTT